CTCTCTCTCTCTCTCTCTCTCTCTCTCTCTCTCTCTCTCTCTCTCTCTCTCTCTCTCTTTTTTTTTTTTTTTTTTTCACCTGACCTCTTCCCTCACGTCGTACCCCACCCAACCTTTGCCCTCCCTCCTCCTTCCATCTGCCCTCCGTCCGCCCGACTTCACCCTGTCGTCTTTCCCCTTCCTCCTCCCACCTCCTCTCGTTCCTCTTCACGCTTTTTCCCATGCTCGTCTCCCCCTTACCTCTACCCACCCAACCCCTGAACTACCTTCTCCTTTTGCCCTTTCTCTGCCCTACTTCTCCCTGCCGCCCCTGGACCTTCTTTTCAACCTCCCTCTGCCCTCCAATCGCCTGGCCACCTCACTCCCCTTCCTTCACCCAATCTCGATCTGGCCTCCTTCCCTCAATCTCCTCCGTCTTCCTCCTTTCTCCGCCCGATTTGCACTGACCTTCTTCTTCCCCCTATCTCCTTCCCCTGATCTCCTTCCTCCCCTTCCTTCCTTGGCCCAATCTCCACCTGACCTCCTCCTTCCGCCCTGATCTCCTTCCTCCCCTTCCTTCCTTGGCTCGATCTCCACCTGACCTCCTCCTTTTGCCCTACTTCTCCCTGTCGCCTTTCCACTCTCCAGGCCTCCTTTCAACCTCCCTCTGACCTCTGTCCGCCTGGCCGCCTCAATACCCTTCGTTCGTCCGATCTCTACCTGACCTCCTCCTTCCCCCGATCTTCCTCCCCTTCCTTCCTCGGCCCAATCACCACCTGACCTCCTCCCTCTGTCCTACTCCCTACCTCCCCCTTCCTCACTGGACCGGCCGCCCGACCCCCAACCTAAGACGTGCTTCGTTTTGTTTTTTCGGTGGACGTAAACGCTCCATTTGTTATCAAGATCACTCCATTTCTTTTCAAGATCTCAACACGGTTGCACACCCGCAAGAAAGAGAGAGGGAAAGCAGGCGAGAGAAAGACGCATTTCACCTACCACACTTCCTCCTCTCACTCTTCCTCCCTGTCACCTTCTTTGTCCTTGTCTATCTCCTCCACCACCCAACATACGTCTCCCGCCTCCTCAAGCTCTTCCTCCGCAGCATTCTCCCTCGCTCTTCTCTTTGGAGCGACATTACGATTAATCATCCAACTACCCTGCGCCAGGTATTTCAAGTTGTCGATATTTCTCTCCATATTTCACGCTCTTCCTCCCCAATCCCTACAACCTTGCTCTTTTCTCTTTGGAGCGGCCTTACGATTAATCATCAAACTGCCCCGCGCCAGGTATTTCAGGTTGTCGATATTTCTTTCCACATTTCACGCTCTTCC